TCTTCATTCATCATCTACATCATTCATTCATTCTTTCTTTAATACTTTACTTTTTAATACAAAATTCCGCATTCACAAGATCTTGATACACCTAGCCATATTCGAAGTTGCCTTCGCCCTAGACGTGAAAGGTTTTAATTTCTGAGGGTTTGGTCCCAAATCTCTATTTAAATTATTTAATTTAACTGTTTTGATTATTATTTTCCTTGAAGTTACTAGCGCGTGTATTTTGTTATTAGAAAGAGGTACGAGGCATCCAAGTAAGTACTTTAATTGATTTATGATGTAGATATCATGCTTAGATTGTTATTTTGATTCCTAGTATCATGTCTAGGGTATCTTTAATATTAAGTATGATTAAAAGTATGATGCTTCCTATATTCTCCCTAATATTTATGATTATTATGATCATGATTGATATTATTATTAATGATGTTGATTATTTATTATGTTGCTTGATATATATTATGCATATTATTGCTTGATCACCTTTTATTGCATGTTTAAAGGGAATTGGTACTTGCAACCACGCTTAATAAGATAATTAATAATCTTGTTAGGTTAATTGTGATTATAATTCAAGTGATCGCCGATAATAGTTTACTTGTGCATTAAATTCAACCAACATAGATTAAACAGGTTTAGGGTTAATCCTATTGATTGTATGTTAGTCAGAAAGCGCACATAAATACGATCAGAATAAAGTAGAGGCCTATTATTATGGCAGGTTCAATCTCTTTTAGGTTGGATTTGTACCATCATCCCCGGACCCTTATTTTGTTCATGACCTTATGGAGTTGGCGATCTCTTGGATCGTTAAGGGGTGTAACCTTCATCCTATGGATGGTTTACAAGTTCCTTAAAAACTTGTTGGCAACTCTTTTGCTCTATCTTCTTCCCTTTTAGACGCCACCGTACTTTAGTGTATGATCACAGTGGGGTTCAAGCTAGTGGGATTTTTAAAGGCTTGAAATTATTCCCTACAGAGGGATAATACTTTCACTTTACCCCACCCCACCTTGACCAAATTTGAGAAGAGGATGCCTTCTTACACATTTGCACTTGACGGTCAAGGTGAGGTGCAACCACCTTACCCTTCACCCCAACCCCATCAATCACCAATTGACCACTCACCTCCTCACCATTCACCACACTATCCACCACCTCCACCCTTTACATACAATATCCCCACTTCCTCTACCAACTACAACATAGACCCTAACGCCCCTTATGACTTCTCGGCTTTTAGGAGCCAATTGGATAGGATTGAGACGGGGCAAGGAAGAGTTATGTGGACTATTCATCGGTACTTATGTGGACTATTCATCGATCCATGGCTATGGGAACGATGCTCCTTTTGGTGGGCTTGGGGGGAATGTAGACCCTAACTATTTTGCAGGTGGTTCGGGTTATGGAGGTGGTGGTTCGAGCCATGGAGGGGCCGGTCCCAGCCATGGTGGTGGCGGCTATTCGAGGATGGATGAGGATGAGGAGTAGGTTACACTCCCAAGTCAATGAGGGCATTGCTTGATTTGGCTTGGGGGGTAATCTTTCGCTTGGTAACTCTCTTTCCTTTCTCTCTATTTACTTACTTTCTAGTGTAGTTTTTATTGCTTTCTTTATATATAAAAATACAAAAAAAAAAAATTGAAAAATAAAAAAAATCCAAAAATACGTTCCAATGAATTATAAATTATGCTTCCCTGTGCCCCATACTTGAGAAAAATTGTTTTGATTCTTGGTATTTGATGATAGGCATTGTGGATTAGTTGATCATGATTTGATGTTTGATTGCTTTGAAACTTTAACATGCGTCAATCTTGCCCAACTACTTGAGAATATAGTGCTTGACTAGTTGATTTGGTAAGGAATGTGTGATAGTTCCATAGTTCCTGGTATGTCAATGAATTTGAGTATTGGTTTGCAACTACTAGTAATATTTATATGATTCATTATTATGCACATTGTGGAGGACGGAGGCATTTGTTCTTTTAGGTAGCCTTCAGACATTGTAGAATACATTTGTTCCCTTCTTGCTACCCATGTTGTTGCCTTGGCCTTTTGTTGTTTATTAGCCGCATTACAAGCCTATTTTGCCCCATTGGTTACTAGTCCCAAGCTTGGCTTGGGGGAGCTATTAGTGAGTGAGGTGAGGGAGTTTGTAGTGTGCTTATTATTTGCACAATTAGGGTTCATTGTTTAAGAAGTTGTTTTGTTGTTATTCATGTTTATTTTTGATGAGTTTGAGAGTTATATTTTCTTGAAAAAATAAAGCATGATATTATAAAAAAAAAAAGAGAAGTTCAAAGAAAAAAATGTGAAAAAAATAAGTGAACTTCGAAGGAAAAAAAATGTTCAAATGTTCTAGTTGGAGGGTGATCAAAAGAAAAATAATTCAGAGCTTCATTGAAAAAAATCAAGTTTGGAAATAAAGTTTGTTTATTCACTCTATTTCTTCATTATTATATTCTTATGAGTGAAATTGTAAGAGTTGGGATTATTTATTATGATTGGAGTATATTTGGTTGATGTTAGAGTTGGTTATGTAGGAGATGTATGATCACTATTTATTTTGATCATGGGTTTTATTATGATATGACTCCTTTAAGCATAGCTTTACTCTCACTTATTTCCAAATTTATCATACCCTTTACCCTAGCCTTACATTACAAGTTTTAAAGACCTTCCGACCTTTGTGCATAGAATTGTAAATGTGAAAGTGTTGTTTATCAATACAAGTTATGACTTGGCATATTTCGAGTCGACTAGTAGAATGAGCGTTCAATGTTTTTATACACACGAGAGTGTGAGTTGGGAAGGCATTGTTCACATTAAAGGGGTTGGTTGGAGAGAGATCGAGTACATTCTTTACTCGCCACATAAATGAGAGTTGAGTGTGTGAGCACTAGTCTTAAATTCTATATGCTCTTGTGGTTTGCTCTACTTGACAATTGTTGGGGAGGAAGGGTGATTAGATGAATAAGATTGATTGATGTTGAAGCATGTTCATTAATTTTACCTTGAATCGTTGGTTCTTGATTTGATTATTGGGGTGAAGTATGTTTTATATGTTCATTGATGAGCTCTTTGCTTAGGGACAAGCAAAGGTTTGGCTTAGGGGAGTTTGATGTGTCCATTTTATATAGTATTTTACCCCCGTCCCTTGGTCATAATTAGTAGTGTTTTTGGCTCTTTAGAGCCACTTCTATTACTAATATGTGTTTTCTAGTGTTTTCGTAGTTTTGGTTGAGTTTTGCAGGGAATTGCACCTTTGGAGCATTTTCCCGGGATTTTTATGAAGCAACTACGAGCATTGGAGGAGCACGACCGTCGTTGAAGCCCAAGGCCGGCTAGAGCTATCGAGCCAGTGATTAAGGGCTCGGTATTTGGAATACCGAGGTTTGGACCGAGTATTCAAGACCCGAAGAGGAGATCCGGATTGGGCCAAGGAGTCGAGCCCAATCGGAAGTCCAAAGCCTCGAGGAGCCACAAGGGCCCGATCGGGCAAGCTTAGCTCGATCGGGCAAGATGCGCAGCAAGCCAAGAATGTGTGGCCCAAGGCGCGCCCGATCGTGCGAGGCTTAGCACAATCGGGCGGTACTGCTGAGAAGAGTGTGCTAGCAAAAACGTGGGCCCGATCGGGCGACCCTTCGCCCGATCGGGCGCGTGTTTTTCCTAGGGTCTGATTAGTTTAGTTTTAATTCGTGTTTTAGGAAAGGTTTAAATACAATTTGTACGGAATTATTAGTTACTCCTTCTCTTATACCTTCTCGCTTAGACTTTCTCTGACTACTGAGTTTTCTCTCTCTTAACTTCTCTAAACCTTTGTTCTTAATTCATTCATTAATTCCAGATTTATTTTGGTAACGATTTCTCTTCCTTTAATCTTAGTTATTTATTTTATTCCTTTCATCATGATTTATTTTATTACTTTGATTAGTTTAGTCTTTAATATGGGTGAGTAGTTTAATTTCTAGGGTTTATGGGGATCTAATAAATAATATGAAAAGGTAAATTATTGTTGTTGATTATCAATGCTAGATTAATTTCCTATTGATTGATTTAATGCTCTGTGACTAGATTAGGCCTATCTTTTATGCATGAGTTTGACAATATTGATTCAAGAATCGAGAGATGAGAATTAATGTTTAGGTCTAGTTTCAATAGACAAGTTAATTTATAAATGGTTAAGTCAAGAATCGAGAGATGAGATTTAATACCGGTAAATTAATTGTGTGATTGTAATACGTAGAGAAAGCCCTTTACAATCTGGTTAATTGATGCATTGATGATTGACTATTATTGATTGTTGGTATTGCATGATAATTTCTTATTGGATTGTTTTAATGTTTTACAATTGCGGCTTGTAAAAGTATAGCAATATTAAATTGATGAATCGAGCAGATGTTAATTTGATATTAAAGGCTATTTTCAATAAGAACTTAGATCTAGTAAATTGCGAGAGCCTGTTAGATCTATGTTGATTAATAAATTGCGAGAGCCTGTTAATCATGTTATTTATGCAATGTCAATGATTGATTACTATGTTTTACCCTGGAGTATTATTTATTGGTGAACCTATGCCCTAGATCCCTTTATATATCGTTTTCTCCCTACTCTTATTCTTTATAGTTTAGGTTCATACTTAATTATAAATATTGGTTACTTAAATAATTTAGATTATAATATTTAATTAGGAGTAAAAAGACTAGTTTCCCTGTGGAGACCGACCCTACTTCCCTATCTACCTTAGTTAGTGATTTAGGTAATTATTTTTTATTAGGGGATACAACTTTACCCTGTCACCATCCCTTCAAAATTGGAGAGATTTGGAGGGAAAATGGAGTTCTATCATTTCCTCCACTTTCCCTTCCTTCCCCTTCCTCCTATTTCCCTCCCTTCCATTTCCCTTCTAATTTGTTATCCAAACATAGCATAAAGACATTTTTCTGTAGAATAACAATTAAATCCGGAGACGCAAGTAACTTTCTAGCATAGTCTGAAAGAATAAAGGGATTAAATGAACTTAACATGTGGTACTCTTAAAGGACGCATTTTACTAACCTCAGAAAATCAAGAGTTGTGAGGAAATTACTGAGGTAGAAATATGGCAATCTTACCACCTGCGCGTGGAAAAAGAAGTAGTTACACTGTCATAGACATAGAATTACAGATAATGCCTAAACCTTTCTGCTATACATTACACACTCCAAACATCCAATGAGGTCAATTAGCAAATCAGCCTAGGAGCTAAGAGCATACTAGTGCATACATGATTATGTGCAGTACTACATCGTGGAGTTCAAGAAGATATTTCAGAATCCATAACTTCCAAAGCCTACCACTGACCGTACTAACAAAAACCACATCTCAGTAAGCTGGTCCTGAATTCGACGGAAAAAATCCTGAATCTTCAAGTTAATCTGAATCCTCCAATCTACCCAAATCAATAAAACCATCTATACCACCTACTATTTGAACTGCGTTCCTTCTCAGTTGGAGCTAATGTGATTCTTTCAGCATGAGCCACAGCCCATCTGCTAAATTCAGGAGAAGAAACCAACTCTTCCAATCCTTTTTTTGTGCATTCTTTGGTCACTGATTTCAGCTCATCAGCAGAAAATTTCCTCCTCTGCGGGGTGTTATGATAAGTAGAATAGAAGGTGTCAGATTCTGTAGGAGGGGGAGGAGTTTTCTTTGACGGCCCTGAAGAAAAAACAGGAAAATGTGCGCTGAATACAGACACTACACACTAGTACAGGTTTCAAGGTTCCACATGCCAAAAAAATTTATTGGTGCAAACCTTTGACATTAGGATATGAGGCAGCCTGCATGGTGCATTTGGATGGAGGGCTGAGGAACATATCTTGAGAATTTTGGAAATTGCCAACATGCTCTGCATGTTTATCAACAATCGGGGATGAATCATGATCCCTTGATTTCTGATGACTTCTTGCAACAGATTTCTGAAATTTCCTGCATATATTAACACAGTAAACCAAATTATATATCTACGTAGTATATGAAGTTGAATAATATAATCCATTTATGCTTTAAGCACTACCAGTTTGCCACCGCCCACCCTCAGAAAGGAATGGCAGAGAAGAGTCAGAAGACAACAATACAACATGTCTACTCTGGAAATTCCAGAGTCAAAATATCAATGCTATAGATGGTAGAGCTTAAATTACATGATTATTTTGATTAGAAACAAGTTTCACTGAAGCCGAAAACAGCTGAAAACATAAAAACCTCTTGGTCTTACCTGTAAAGTCTACGTAGCAATCTAGGTCTGGCAAATTTGCGCAAAATTGATGATATGAAAATAGCAGATACCAATGCTTCTGCTGCCAGCAGAGGATCCAAAGAGCACTGGAAGTTGACATAAGCTCATCAAAATCTATGAATTTTTTCTGGCTCAAAGGTGAATCATAAAAGAAGAAATAAAAAGCAAAACATCATCATTTCAGAACTCTGGATAGTACCTGCAAGATCATAACAGCACCCAGTATCCGGATTGACCAGGCCACAAACTGAGATACATTAGTATCGATCAAGCCTTCTTCAGTAAGAACCAACTTGCGGATTACCCAAAAGCCCAACCATGCTCCAGCAAGTGAAATAAAAACCAACAAGAATATTGCCAGCTGCAGGCCATTTGTAGAAGCATTAGCATATTAATGTTTCTTTTATTTTGATAGAGAAGAATATCCTTTGACCTATCATTATAAAACAGATAAGGCAAGCGAATGACCTTTATGTGTGTGCACGCGCATGTGTGCGTCACAGGGGGGTTTGGGGGGGGGGGGTGGGGGAGGGCTGGCAAAAACTATTTGCATTGATGTCTTGTAAGGTTTAAGGTCATAATTTGAGGACACAGCAAAAAGATGGTAACATGAAATATACCTATTTTAGAGAAAAAGTCAACCAAATACCTAACATGCATTCATTAAATTCATTATCATTCATATTTCATATTCATGTCTCTACATCATAAACAGTACTCAAGGTCATCAAAGATATCAAAGATGATACACGTGTTTATTGGAGGATTGTTGCCATAAAAATTCACAAGTGCCATCCCATGCCCATTTACACACTAGCTTCATTTTCATTCTAAACCAAAAAAGTCATCAAGTATGAACACTAGCCAATGAAAGGTCTATAAGGTATACTTTGAAAAGAAGGAAATATTGTGAAGAACCCCAAAAAAGTTGGGGATCTTTAAAATATACCCCCATTAACTTATTTTTTTTAATTAAACCTCCAAGGTTTCTTAAATAGTTCAACTAGCACCACCAAACTAACAGACTAGTTAAAATTTAAGTCTTCTAGACCCAACTTATACTTCAATTTAATTGACATCACTTCCTTCTTTGCAATCTTCTATCTCTTCTACAATTGTCATCTTTAGAGCTGTCAAAAGTTGACCCGACCCGAGATACCGACTCAAACCCGATTATTAACCTAACCATCTGAACTCGAAAAAAATGGTATCCCAAACCCGACCTGAAACCAACTCTATACCCGAGTTGACCCGAGTATATGAGACCCGAACCCGAACAGAACTCACCTGGAGATGACCCGACCCAAATGTAACCCGTAAATTATTGACCTGAACTGAACTCGACTTGAACCGAAATTGACCCAAACCCGTCAAAAAAAGAATTTAACCCGACTTGTCACTAACCTGAATTCAACCCGACCCGACCCGACCCGTTCCTAACCCAACCTGTTACAAACCCGACCCGGAATCAACCCGACTTGTTATTAGACAAAAAATTCAACCCAATTTGTTACTAACCCGACTCGAAATCAACACAACTTGTTATTGACCCGACCTAAATTCAACCCAAATTGTTCCTGACCCGATTTCAACTCCCCTTAAATGCAATTTGGACCACCTTATTATTGTTGATCAACGGAGACCGAGTCAGTCCACGTCAGCAAAAGAAAGAAGCATCATCCTCAAATTTAAGAGTTAAATATAGTATATATTTGTTGTATGGTCAAAGGAGAAAATTATCTTCCTAAATTATAGACTATAATTCCCTAATATGTTGCCATATAAATTATAGTCAAAGGAAATAATTAGCTTGACAAAAATAATAATTATCTATACATAGTTAGTTGGACCCGAAAATGACCCGACCAGATTGTAACATGAAAATTATTGACTTGAACAAAACCCGACTTGAATCCGAGTACGACCCGACTTGAAATGACCCAACCGAATTATAACCCGCAAATAATTGACTTGAACCGAACCCGAATTGAACCCGAGAATGACCCGACCTGATTATAACCCGCAAATTATCGACTTAAACCAAACCCGACTCAAACCCAAAAATGACTCGACCAAATTCTAACCTGCAAATTATTGACTTGAATTGAACCCGACTTGAAACTGAGAATTACCCTAACCCGTTTTAACCCGACCTATTGTTCAACTGAATGTAACCCGACCTAAACCCAACCCAAACCTGATAATAAGTATGACCCGACGTGACCCGATTCAAGCATGATCCAACCAAAACACGACCCGCATAGGTTATGGAATTAATTCGAATTAACCCGAACCGAGTTGACCCAACCCACTCTTACCGACCCAAAACCAACCCATTTACCCGAATTGACAGCACTACTAGAAACCTCCAAAATTTCTAAAAAAGCGTGGATATTAGTCTTCAATTTTGAAATTTTTTGAATGTTTTAACCCGGAAATAAAAATTGTCGAAATGTTTACCATGGTCCCTAATACCATTCGGGAGTCCAATTGACTGGGTGGAACCATCCAAATTTGCCTTGAAACGACTAATTTACCGGTTTACAACTTGCACCAACTTCATTAACTCAAGCCTACCACGAACATTTATGACAACATATAATGATCATATATTGATCCAAAAAGCATTATATGACCCCGAGATGTATCCCCTAAAATCTCAATGCTTTTCGACACCAGGCCCCAAAACATTCGAAATTTCTCAAAAACCGTGGATATTAGCCTTCAATTTTGGAATTTTTTGACTTTTTTCGACCGGATAAAAAAATTGCCGAAATGTTTACCATGGTCCCTAATACCCTCCAGGAGTCCAACTGGGTAGGTGCAACCATCCAATTTGCCTTTAAACGACCAATTTATCGGTTTACAACTTGCACCATTTAATTAATTCAAGCCTACCACGAACACTTATGACTACAAATAATGATCATATATAGTTCCAAACTTCTTTATATGACCCCGAGATGTATCCCCTAAAATCTAAAGGCTATTCGACACCTGCTGGCTCTGAAACCTCCAAAATATTTCAAAAAGCGTGGATATAGCTTTTAATTTTGAAATTTTTTACTTTTTTTAGCCCGAAAATAAAAATTTACGAAATGTTTACCATGGTCCCTAATACCCTATGGGAGTCCAATTGAATGGGTGAAATCATCAAATAAGTCTTTAAACGACCAATTTACTGGTTAACAACTTGCACCGATTTAATTAATTGAAGCCTACCGCGAACATTCATGACAACATATAATGATCATATATAGTTCTAAACGGCATTATATGACCCCGAGATGTATTACCTAAAACCTCATTGCTTTTCGACACTAGACCTCGTAACCTTCGAAATGTCTAAAAAAAACGTGAATATTAGCCTTCAATTTTGAAAAATTTTGACTTTTTTTTTTACCGTAATTAAAAATAACCGAAATGCTTATCATGGTCCCTAATACTCTTTGGGAGTCCAATTGGGTAGATAGAACCATCCAATTCGTCTTTAAACAGCCAATTTACCGTACAACTTGCACTGATTTTATTAACTCAAACCTACCACGAAGATTTATGACAACATATAATGAACATATATGGTTCCATACATCATTATATGAACCCGAGATGTATACCCAAAAATCTAAATGCTTTTCGACACAGGGGCTCCGAGACCTCCAAAATTTTTCAAAAAGCGTGGTTATAGTCTTTAATTTTGAAATTTTTTTACTTTTTTCGCCAGAGAATTTTCCAAAATATTTACCATGGTCCCTATTATCCTTCAGGGTTCTAATTCGATGGGTGGAACCATAAAATTTGCCTTTAAACGGCCAATTTACCGACCGATTTCATTAATTGAAGCCTACCACGAACATTTATGACAACATATAATGATCATATATGGTTTTAAACGACATTATATGACCCCGAGAAGTATTCCTTAAAATCTCATTAATTTTTTACACAAGGCCCTGAAACCTTCGAAATGTTTAAAAAAATGTGGATATTAGACTTCGATTTTGAAAAATTTTGACTTTTTCACCCGGACATAAAAATTGCCGAAATATTTACCATGGTCCCTAATACCCTCCGGGAGTTCAATTGGATGTGTGGAACTATCAAATTCGTCTTTAAACGGCCAATTTACCGATTTACAACTTGTACCGATTTCATTAACTCAAGCCTACCACGAATATTTATGACAACATTAATTGAACATATATAGTTCCAAACTGCATTATAGGAACCCGAAATATATCCCCTAAAATCTAAAGGCTTTTCAACTCCAGGATCCGAAACCTCCAAAAAATTTCAAAAAGCGTGGATATAGACTGTATTGTTGGAATTTTTTTTATTTTTTTCGCCCGAAAATAAAAATTTCTGAAATATCATGAACCCTATTATCCTCCAGACTCCAATTGGGTGGGTTGAACCATCAAATTTACCTTTAAACGGCAAATTAACGGTTTACAACCCGCACCGATTTCAATAATTGAAGCCAACCACGAACATTTATGACAACATATAATGATCATAAATGGTTTTAAACGTCATTACATGACCCCGAGATGTATTCCCTAAAATCTCATTGCTTTTCAACACTAGACCACGAAACCTTCGAAATGTCTAAAAAACGTGGATATTAGTCTTCAATTTTTAAAATTTTAGACTTTTTTGCCCGGAAATAAAAATTGCCGAAAATTTTACCCTGGTCCCTAATACCCTTCCGGAGTCCAATTGAGTAGGTGGAACCATCCAATTCGTCTTTAAACAGCCATTTTACCGATCCACAACTTGCACCGATTTCATTAACTCAAGCCTATCACGAAGATTTATGACAACATATAATGATAATGTATGTATCTAAACGGCATTACATGACCCTGAGATGTCTTCTCTAAAATCACATTGCTTTTCGACACAGGGCCCCGAAACCTTCGACATGTCTAAAAAAACGTGGATGCCTTCGATTTTGGAAATTTTTTACTTTTTTTGGCCCGGTAATAAAAATTGCCCAAATGTTTACCATGGTCCCTAATACCATGCGGATGTCCAATTAAGTGGGTGAAACTATAAAATTTGCCTTTAAACGGCCAATTTACCGGTTCAGAACTTGTACCGATTTCATTAATTGATGCGTACCACGAACATTTATGAAAACATATTATAATCATATATGGTTCTAAACGGCATTATATGACCCTGAGAAACATACTCTAAAATCTCATTGATTTTAGACAAAGGCCCCAAAACCTTTAAAAAGTCTTAAAAAAACGTGGATATTAGCCTTCAATTTTGAATATTTTTAACATTTTTTCGCCCCGAAAATAAAAATTGCCGAAATGTTTACCATGGTCCCTAATACCCTCCGGGAGTCCA